ATAAAAACAATTTTTCACGTTAAATGTTGGGTAATTTTCACTTGGTAGTGTTCTATTCAAAGTCTCTTGTGCGATCCTTCTAAAAGTACTTCTAATAATAATAATAATAGCTCCAACGGAAAGGCAGTCAGCGGAGGCACAGATGCTATTTGACGCCGTACTCCGAAAGGCTGCTTCAGATTTCAACGATTCAACTGACGTCCGTCCGTCGTCGCGTGCACGCGAGCGACGGCGACGCTAGACAAGTATTGACAACATTGAGCGCCAATGAATCACGTGCCAGTGTTGTCAACAAGTGGCTAGAGCCGCCGTCGCACGCGATGGACGGACGGACTCGGTTGAATCGTTAAAGGCTGAAAGTAGCCAAAGATACCATTTATGGATGACAAAAGTCCGCCAACTACGACCGTGTACTTTGAATGCATGCGCAACCCTTTGTCATGACGAAGCTCCAGCTCCAAAGCGCTTTTAGGATACGGGTTGAGGAGGGGGTGTCGGAGCATTTGCTCCACGCCGGCACTGCAGCCTGCGAAAGGTTGTGCGCGTTGTTTCAAGAAAAGATTGTTAGAGCACCCCCTCAATAATCTGTCTACAGTCACACGGGATAGATCGCCACTCGAATCTCCCGGGTTGTTGCCCTTCTATCTCAACTGTCCGTCCCTTCAAGATATCACAAAGAATTGTTTCGCAGCGTTCCTTCTTGAAATATATGAAGTCTTTAGATCTCCGTTCTCGCTTTCAAGATAGAAAGAACGGCGGGGAGAGCGTACATTTAGCTGCATGAGGAGACGGGATAAGTCCAATCAGGTCGTAGCTATGAATACTACTTCTACGATGATGAGGGCGAAAAAGTGCAGTTTGTACCCGATTTCCCAACGAAGTGCAAGAATTCAATATACCATTCTCAAAAGGAACCCTCGCCTCAATCACCATCATTTAAAATTACATGGGAACAAATAGATTTCAACTGCAAGCTCGAAAAAGTGAAAGCCTTACACAACTAGAAGAATCGGGGAAAATATGAAAACATATATTTGAAGAGCAGACCTCTGAGGGACTGCGACTTTTCCGACCTTTATCCGTTTGTTTCGACCTTGCAGAACGGCGCAAGTAATTGCTATCTTCCAACAACTGAAAAGAAAACACGTTACGTTTCTGGCATAGCAGCACTGCAGAACAAACCTTTCGCGTTTCTTCGTCTAAGCGACCTTTCGGTCGCTTTCGTGGAACGTCACTGCTTCCACTCGAGGAGCTGCCCACTCCTGCTGCATGATCTTCACTGCAATCTCCGCTTCCGTCCCTTTCTGAACAAATGAAAATAAACAACCATTATTATAAGTACCGAGGC